GGCAGGGTGATAAAGTTGGATCTTTCCCAGTTGGGAAAACTCATCAGGAAGAATAAAATGTAATAGTAAAATGGGCATCACTTATTGGCGTATTATATATATCAAACTTGGAAATTTAGAAGCAGCGCACAAATGATAGATGGATAACCCACGAAAGTCTAAAGAAGACTTATTTCCAGTGTGGTTTTTCTGGTGGAGATTGGCCAGTACACAGGCCGACAATCCCCTACTTTTTCCTAATAGTGCACTGCGTTCTTTAACATGCACACAGGCCATAATGCATATGGGTCCAATGGATTAAACGTCTTATCCAAAAGATGGTGCCCTCTTCAGCCCTCTCGCATTTCAGCCCTCCAGCTGAAACACAAGGAGAGCAGCGGTGAATGAACTGGGAACCTACAAGTCTCCACAGTTCAGCGCACACGCAGTGGCTACCGCAAGTTTAGCCGACTGCTGGTCTACAGTATGGTACTCGCCAGTCCAAATCGTTTGGCTAATTGGCATGGTTCCTGCCTCTTTTAGTCAGGGCCCGGGTTTCATACTGCCCCACCATGACAAAAGGAAGTAATTGACAATTTTTCAAAAATGAGTTTTTTAGTCACTATCAAAGAGCTAATAATTTGGAACCTATTGATATATTTGAGTGCTCAAATCCTACTAATTAACAAGTAATTAGCAACACAAAAAGGAAGAGGGAGAATAAAAATATGGTAGAAACCACCACAAAAGGAAGCAGGGACAAAATCAACATGCTCCATATTCCTTTATTACTTAAAGCAAAAAAACATCAGTTGCTTCCTTTCATTATGGTATAATAACAAAACACTCAGCTCCTTGATTAACTGCTTAAGAGTTAGGCGAGTTAAGGACCACGTTTGTAACAGTCTGTATTCGTTTGATGTTGTAGATAAGTCGGGTAGTTGCTGCCGAACTATGGCTGACGTGGATCCCCGGGGACCCATCCCAAATTTTCCAGTGTGTAGGCATACATATACGAGGAGTAAATAAAGAATCATTATTATTATTTACTTATATTACTATATACCGTTATCTTTATTAGTATCTTTATGCCTTCTGTACTACAGTTGGTATAGTAAATGTTGGGTTTCTGCAGTATTAAAAATAAAATAAAATTACAGTTTTAATATAACAATATTTGGTTTTATTTATTTACTAAATAATTATTATTTACTAAATGCAGTATTAATAAACACAATACTTTGTTGAACGTCAGTACTGTTTGCACTAGTTTCAATGGCACCTTGATATTTTACACAAGGGCAATAGCTATGTTCCGACGATCCTTCCTATCCGATGCAAGTTAATGCAAATTCAAGTCAAGGTCGCATCAAATTTTATCGTATGTCTACACGAGAGTTATAGCGGATAGTTTTAGCGCTTATACACTGACATAAAAAAGTTGAAGATTAAAATGATTTTTGTTGATCTCATGATAAAACGAAGACGACAAAACAGAAATTACATTAGGCTAGGGCTTGCCTGGGCTAGGCCTGCTTGAATTGGGTAGGCAGTAGGCCATCCCAACTATTGACAAATAAAAGGCAAACTATGTTTAACATCCAATTTTTTCATCTTCACTTGGTAAAGCATTCCGAAAAAGCAAAATAAAATTTTTCCCACCTAACCTAAGCCTACCTATGAACATTTAGGAGATTTTCAGCAGCATATAACCCAAGCTTCCAAATGTAGTATTTATGTGAGTACGAACGTTGTTTGTGGTTGTTCTTGCTAGAATATGTGAATTGCAGTGGTTAAAGATAAGGCTACCGTATTAACTGTAAGTTCAGAATCATGTAAATACAGTATCTCACCGGCATTCACATCTCGTTCAGCCGTATCTTCAGACGAAGCGAACAAACTACCACGGTATTTTGCGAATTTCCCAAAATATGACATGAAATTTATATAAGTTTACAATGACGAGTATAATATAAATTTATCCTGTAATGTTTTATTTGGATTACTTTTGACAACTATGAAGTTAAAAACAACTCAAAAAGGTAATATTAAAGATGCTTTGGTTAATATTTAGGCCAAGTAGAATTGCCTTGGAAATGAGACCGTGGTCAAGCTACAGATGTTATTGCAATCAACATGTGGCAAGTCAATTAACAGAAAGTTCTGTAGGGGTGCGTTCGAGCCAGAAAAATATCCGTGCGAGGTCCGTGTATTTACACGGAAGTTAAATGCCGTGTGTGGCTCGAACAGGGGTAAGATGTAAAAAACATCTGGAACACGTTCGCCTATTTTGACCACCAAATTTAGGGTTATAGAACCGTGTATCGCTGTCAAAGGCCATTATCGCGACCATTAATCATGTTTTAATGACTCTACCGTCTGACGGTCAACATGAATGCAATTCAACACGCGCGAAAACCATAGGCCTGTCCAGTTTTACAAAAACAAATGCATTCACTGACCTGTTAATGTTATAGCATCATCTTCATCATTTCAACATGTCTGTGTGGAACGAACCTATGATACGTTACCTTCTCTCATTGTGGGGGGGGGGGTGAAGACAGAATACAAAGACAACTGGACGGCACCCGCCGAAACAGCGGTATTTACAAAGAAATAACTGCAAAGATCGAAGAAAAATTTAGGGGAAAGCTGACAGTGACACAGGTCACCAATAAACTGAAGTATTTGCGCAGGGGAGTACAGTACNNNNGTACAAGTGCGTGAAGCGTGGTTAGAAACGTAAATATTGCGTGGCATGATGTGATATACTATTGCCTCGCTGACCTCAAACGAGTATTTCCGAGGTAAATTTTTACACGGTTAGACAAGATAAGTTTGTGCTCGAATGCGGGGACCCCCCGTGGTGTAAAGCCGTGCATTTACCTGTCATATACACGGAATTTAATAGGCGTGTATGGCTCGAACGCACCCTAGGATGAGAGCCTTGCCAATCTGGTCATTTGTCGGTGTTAGCTTGTTGTCTATCAGGTGACCCCGTTCATACGGTCGGTGTCAGCATCATAACAGGCGATTGTTCCATAACTACGATATCACCGGTGTGAGTTTACACGTCAGAACAAGGCTAATGTGGGCCAGTCTGACAAGATTGAGTGCAGTGGGAATAAAGTGATGGATGGCTATTTAGTAAGCAAATCCCAAGGGTACCATTAGGCATGTCACTGTCAGTAAAACAAAATGTTGGAAAACTTTACCTGAAGATGTCTACTACACACACACACACACCCACACACAAAAGTGAATACGAGAGTTCCTATTGCATTACATGCATAGGAACTAAAAAGGCAGAGAGAAGCTAAGTACTCGCCAAAATCATTACAGCCTCAAGGATCAGTCTTTAGATGTTAAAGAAAATGATCATATCATTTCAACTGCAATTTTTAAAATTTTTGTTGAAAACCCTGCATTTCTAATGCACCCCAGGGGCGAATCAAGAGAAAAATCTGGGTAGGGGCTAATAGCCATGCAAGGTTCAAATCATCAAGTTGGAGGAGCTGGTGTTCTTTTAGAAATGCTTGGCCATAGACACATAGTAAAAAGGATTTAAACAAAAAATTAGCTTGTTTTGGAAAACTGACCATGTGCACCCTTGCCTATACTATAAAAATTCAGGGTTTACACTGTGCCAATTTTATAATCTGAAATGACTGCCATGATGCTCTTAGATACAATGGTTCTTATAAAAAAGTCTTTAACTTTGGCCCTGTTGACTAGTAAAGTGAAGGCTCACACAGCTACAAAAACATTTCAAGCCTTTCCACTGCATTTTTATGAGGCGCCAAGTGTAACTTTATTATTTAACCCAATTATTTATATATAATTCAATATTTAACATATAATTGAATAGATCACCTATTATTTATATATAATGCATTTACGTCTAAAATATTATATGTAAATAATTGCGTTAACATTTTCATTATTCATTTATAACTAGTGTACTGATTTCATTATATATAAATAATGAAAGGGCAACCAAACATTATTTATATATAAGTTTACTGGTTTCATTATATATAAATAAACAAATCATTATATATTACTTGTTTACTTGTTTCCCAAGAGAGTCTTCTATAATCTGATCCTCCTGGGTATAGAGGCCAAGCAAAACGATGCTTATAGGCCCCTCGAAAAAAAACCCCAGAATATTTAAAATTTAACATAGGGCGCAAATTAGAGTGGATGGTCAGCCAAACGTACTTCGATTGCAGATTTAAATAAATTAATTGAACTAGAGTTAACGTCTTCATTCGATAAAGAATTCCACAGCCGCACTGACCTAAATGAAAAAGCACGACTTCTATTAAAGTGTCCTACAGTGCTGATGTTTAATCTTAAAGGAGTGACCTCTAGTTCTAGCACCTTTATCAAACTCAAAAAATAAATCACCCGAAACCCTATCAATTCCATGGACAATTTTCTAAAAGCTGTAAAATATCAGATCTCTGTCTACGGAATGCTAGAGTTGGAAGATTCATAAATCTTCATACGGAAAATCCCTTACCTCCAAAAACATTTTAGTTGCTCGTTGTTGAACTTTCTAAGGAATCTGCCTCTCTCTTATAAATTGGGTTATAGACTACACTACAATATTCTAAAGTTGGTCTCACAATAGACTTATACAATTTCAATAGACCTTTTTTCTTCAGGAATCTAAAAGACCATTTATCATGCCCAATTTCATGTTAGCTTTCTTACAAATATCAGCAATAATGCATTCTAAAATTAAGACTAGAATCAAAGATAACTCCTAAATCCTTTACACTGTCAACTGCCTGAATTTCAATATCAAACATAAAATAGGAACATTTTGGATTATTTCTTCCATAGTGAACAACTTTACATTTGTCACTATTGAATGGCAAGTTCCATTTTCGAGACCACTCACATAGGACATTATTATCTTCCTGGAGACAGAATCTATCATCAACCGAATCTACAACTCTAAAAAGCTTTGTATCATCTGCGAACAATTTTACGGAAGAGTTAGATACTAAAGGTAAATCAGTGATAAAAATAGTAAACAAAATTGGACCCAAAACAGAGCCCTGTGGGATACCACTTAGCACTGGGACTTTACTAGATAGACATCCATTTATTGAGACACGCTGTGAACAACCAGCAAGATATTCCGCAATCCACTTTAAAGTTTTATCTTTAATACCGTAACTACGTAACTTGCCTAAGAAACGCTGATGCGGAACGGAATCAAAAGCTTTTTTGAAATCAAAATAAATACAGTCAAAATTATAAGATTTATCAATATTTATCAATATATATATAAATAATGAAAAGTAACTTACAATTATTTGAATATAATAAGTTCACTGATTTTATTATATATAAATAATGAATTGACTTCAAACTCATTATACATAAATAACTGCTTTTACATTTCATTATATATAAATAATAGCTTTCGCAAAACCATTGTATGTATATAATGCTTGGACTTGAAACTCATATGTATATAATGCACGTGTTATCGTGTCAAGGCCATTATATCTAAATAACGGTTTCTTACTGCCAATTATATATAAATAACTGCTGCGGTCAAGTGCCATTATATATAAATAATGAGATTGTAGGAAGTTTATAATAATTTGTTATGCAAATTATGAAGTAATAAATATTCATCAGTGCTCTAAAGTTACAATTAGGGCCTACTGTGTGTGGTCTACAGGTCGTAGACCATCACCAATCAAAAATGGCACAGCAAGGGATACAGCAGATTATTGAATCTGCTGTACTGCAAATCTCAAATCAATTAAGAGAACCCTAAAGTGAACGCCGCGGCCCTCAGGAATCTCGATTTGAGTCTGTCGCGTCCGGGGCAATGTCTGGGGAAATGTCCGGATCAGTTGCTTTGATAGGCATAATACCGAGGTTCATCAACTTTGGGTTCTCTTAATTGATATGAGATTTGCAGTACATCAGATTCAATTAGTGATGGAGCTAGGATCTGCCCGACGAAGGGGCTAGAGGCCCCAACAGGAGTGGGGGCTAGTGGAGCGAATCAAGCCTCACTTGGCTGGGGCCAGGGGGATGCCTACGGCCCCGGTGGGGGTCCAGGGTCTACATCCCCTAGAAGCTACGGATATTTGACGAATTATGGCGAATTTTTATTACTTACTTGATAGGCATCGAGCAACTATAATATGACTTTATGTAGGCTATGTTTTCTAATGTCAAACTGAGCTTCCAAAACCAAAACATTTTGAATAAAACAAGAAACAAAGAGTAGGCCTATGCAATGTAACCATCTAATTTATTTTCAAATCCTCTTTCTTCAAAGTGAAATCCTACATTTTGGAACTTTTGCTTGAAATCTGACAACCACGCTGTCAAGGTCTAGGTTGCTTACCCTATCGCGATGTATTCCAAGCATCATGAGGCTATTCAAACAAGCATTTGTCATAACAGAAAGCAAATTAATTTTAATTAGTCTCATTGAATTATTATTATTATTATTATTATTACTATTATTATTATTGTAAGAATTTCATTTTCAACATCATTTGATTTCATCTCTCAACTTGAGAGAAAAGAAAAAAAAAAGAATACACTCCGTTTAAGTCTTTCACCACTTAGGCCTCTACAAAGAATCTTTTGCTATATATACAGTTCCCAGTAACGTGATTTTTTGAAGCTCAAAGCTATTGATGGTTGTGGGTGATGGTCTTCGACCTGTAGACCACACACAATAGGTCCTAATTGTAATTTTAAGAGCACTGGTGAATACTTATTACTTCGTATTTTGCATAACGAATTATTTATAAACCATGGCTTCCTACGATGTCATTATTTATATATAATGGAACTCTACCTCACGGTTATTTATATATAATTAGCAGTGAGAAACCATTATTTAGATATAATAACCTTGACAAGATAACATGTGTGCATTATATACATATAATAAGTTTCAGTCCAAGCATTATATACATATAATGGTTTTGCGAAAGCTATTATTTATATATAATGAAATGTAAAAGCAGTTATTTATATAATGAGTTTGAAGTCAATTCGTTATTTATATATAATGAAATCAGTGAACTTTTCATTATTTATATATAATGATTTGTTACCTTTTCATTATTTATATATTATGGAATCAGTTAACTTATTATATATAAATAATTGTAAGTTACTTTTCATTATTTATATATAATGATGTGTTACCCTTTACTGCCTTATTTATATATAATAAAACCAGTAACCTTATTATATATAAATAATGTTTGTTTATCCTTTCATTATTTATATATAATGAAATCAGTAAACTAATTATATATAAATAATTATTTACATATAACCTTTTAGACGTAAATGAATTATATATAAATAATGGGTGATCTATTCAATTATATGTTAAATAATTAATTATATATAGATAATTGTGTTAAATAATTTACACTTGGAGCCTCATAACATTTTATGGTCAGCATCATCATCATCATCATCTAAATATTTCTCTCCACTGCAGGAGGAAAGCTTCTTCATCGATTTGCCATTCTACTCTGTTCTGTGCTCCTCCCATACGACCATCAAATATACCTCTGTGAACGCTTGACAATAAGACACCGTCTGCTGCTTATCGATGGCACCTTATTGAATTGCGTTCTGTGTGTGCCCGGCTTAAATAATAATAAATTGGCCAAAATATCCTATCAGATCAAGAGAAGGTACATAATATAAAAAAAAATATACAGATATATACATATATGATTGACAACCAATACCTATTTTGACTAAGAATACTTACAATGTACCACCAGTGTTCTACTTTCACTTGTTTTAGTGCCAGCATTGTTTCTGGCACTACACTGATAACTGCCATCATTGTCGCGACTTGCTGGTTGAATCAAGAATGTAGATGAACCCTCTGGTTGTTGCACTACACCATCCATTAAAAAGGTGTACATAGCTGATGGGACAGCATCTGCAGAACACGACATGTTAACCATATCCCCCTTTGTCACAGGTGTAGGAAAGGAACTTAATACAGGCTTCTCTATATCTGAGAATAAAAAATATTCTATGTAAACTTTTTATTTTGACAAAATCATAAAGGAATTTGAAACATATCACTTACAACCAATAAAATTTTATAGACAATCGGCATACTGCAGGAACGACTATTAATTATCTCTGTTCTCATTACAAACTGTTTATTATATGTATACCCGATTTTAATTACTCTCTTTATAGTCCGCATTGTTTATTCTTTAACTCCTCCCACTACTTGACTGATTGGGACACCCTGGTTAAAGACTGTGAACAAATAAATAAATAAATAAATAAATACAGAGGTTACGTGTGTCCACTTTTTGCCAATTTTTTTTTATGTACCTTATAAAGACCTAAGTGTCACAGGTGACATTATAATTTTAAATGTTTAATTAATTTTTTTGTCATTATTAAACAAATGGGTTTGCTACCAATAAAGATAAGGAGAAGTTACGTTATATCCAGGGTTGTGCTGGGTATGCAAATGAGGAAAATTGTGCAGGTCAATTTGCTGATGAATATCAGGGCTGTGTTAAACATGTAAACCAGGTAAGTCGTGCATGATATTGATTGGCTGAGAGCTATGAATAATGAGATAGGTTGTGAAATGTTAAATTGGGTGTGATTTGGAGGGGGACTTGGTTTTGAGGTGTGCAAGATAGAGGACGATGTCTGAAATTTTGAGAATACAGATAGAATTGTGCACACAGCCTACAGATATCAATTGCCATATAATATGTGTATTTTGAGCAATGAATGTTGCAAATAGGCAGGGAACCGAGATTGACGACTGCTACATAAGGAAAATAGCATATTGAGAATGCAAATTGGTGAGCTCAACACTAAACTGATACGAGGTGACGGTTGCATCTAAAACTACGGATCTAAATGAGCTACGGTACCTGCATGGTGAAAACCAGAAATTTTACACATACTCTTGATATGTGAGTTACAGTGAACTTATTATTGAGTTAAACATTGTGAACGTGAGATACGTAACAAAATTAACGAGAAGTTGAAGTTGAGACCGTATATACGAGCTACCTCACGGTGCAGAAAACGTACGGAAGTGAAATGCATCATTTTGAATTGGAATAGTGAACTCTACCAGCTAATAACAGCTAATCTTTATGTCAAATGTTTTACTTCATTTCATTAGGCACGAGCGCCAAGAATGCCGATCAGCGAATTTCATCACTATCCTACGTGGCATAACCATTAAACAACAGGGGACTTAATGGACCACTACACCAGGATAACCCCTACTCTTCTTGAAGGATGTACTGGGTTCTTTAAAGTGCACACAAGCCAAATGCATACACTGGGCCTACGGTTTAAAATCCTTATCCGAGAAAACTTGTTCCACCACCGGAACCACTGGCGAGTGAGCCGTTCGAACCAGCGCCGATATTATAGCTGAAGGTTACAGTGCCCCTGACTTAACCGCTCTGCCAATCAATTCGCAAAAAAAGTAAAGCATTTTCAAATAAATATTGTACTTTGAAATAGTCGGAGGCTTGGATGGAACAAAACGTCTTTAATTACGGAATCAAGCTTTCGAGCTTACGCTCTTCTTCAGGATCTGTACAAAAACATCCATAAAACAGTACTTAAAAAACTACTTATTAAAATATTTGCATTAAAATTACCTACGATTAAAAATTCATCAAAATTAATGTACTATACATAGTGCTTTCCGTTGTGCAGCACACATGGTTTTGTCTCAGCAGGCCCAGACAACACCACAGCTCTGTTGTTTAGAATAGCCATGAAGGGGAATTCCCAAGTTATACCTTTGTTGTATAGGTAATCTTTCACGAATTGCCTTTATAAATTTGTATTAAAGAACTAATTTTTGTATATACAGTATATATTGAAGAGTATACGTGACCATGGTTTGATTATGGAGTTCCATCCCTTCTATTAATATAATCAAAGATACAAAATAAAAAAAAAAAATACAAGATAGAGTTCTCACATTGTAAAAATGAGGCGGAAGTTGTGCCCAACGTAGACGGCGCCCTTCTTTTTAACCATGCAAGTTTCCTATACTTCGTGCCCAACGTACAGGGCGCCCTTCTGGTGCTAAGTATATCCAGACGCAAAAGGCGCCCGTCCTTTTCCACTAATGGTGGAAAACTTTTTCACTAAGAGTGCGTCCGGCCATGCGATTCTGCGCTGTATTGTTTTATTCTTTACTGATTCATGATTATGCTTTAATTTCATTTCATTTCTTTAGGCACGAGGGCCAAGGATATGCCAATAAGTGAACTTAATCACTGTCCTACGTGGCATATCCAACAGGGGACTTAATGGACCAGGACACCAGGGTAACCCCCTACTCTTCTCGAATGATGTACCGGGTTCTTTAAAGTGCACACGAGCCAAATGCGTACACTGGGCCTACGGTTTAAAGTCCTTATCCGAGAAGACTTGTTCCACCACCGGAACCATTGGCGAGTGAGCCGTTCGAACCAACGCCGATATTAGAGCTGAAGGTCACGGTGCCTCTGACTTAACGATGTCACTGTCTTAATTGTTCTGTGTATTATTTGGATAATAGCAATGATTTCTACCGCCACCAAGGAGGTTATGTATTCACCGATGTCACTGTCTGGGTGTCTATTCCAGTTTGTTTTTATATCTAGTTCTTTGTTGAGAATTGATAATAAAATACGACTTGGTAACGAAAGTTTGGCACAAGTTTTTTTAGATCCAGCTGTAGGGGGCGTCCCATTTTTCGTAACCCACCATGCATTTCGGTGGAACACGGTGGAACACTTTTTTTGTGTGGAGAACTCTATCTTGTATTTCTAGTATCTTTGATATAATGCAAAGAAACATGCATTTGAATGATTTGAGACCTAAAGTAAGTTTCTATGTACATTAGCCACAGAGATAGACAAATTCAGTGAATATAAGGTCAGAGTTCAATTGCAGCATTTCCGTTCATTTTTGAGGCAAATGTTGCATTAGAGCAAATATAAACATGCATTTTCTGAATAATTTTAAAAAGTAACCAACTCCCTGCGACCAGCGGTTGCCAAGATATGAGACCCATATATTTTGAACCTAATTTGCATATTTTGGCTAATTTGCATATGTTCCCGAGGTGTGACCAAGGTGTGATTTGTGGAATTTCATCAGCTCATCATATGTATTTGATTAAAAAAGAAAAACCTTTGTTTGCAATTTGTTTGACTTTAAATGCTAGATTGCCTAGCCTATTAGAAGTGTTCCAAAATTAAATTTTCAAATACAGTACTTATCTGTTTGGGTTGGTAAGGCTCCAATGGAGTGGAAATAAAGCCTAGATGGAAGTTTTTCAAGGAAAGGTACTTTATGACGTGCATATTGTTCCAGTAAGGCATCGCCGTCTGAGGTACCTTTTAGGCCTAGGCCTAAGTCAAGAATATTATTCATGGCAAATGCTATTTGCAGCATGAACACGAAAAAAACGAATCTCCCATTCGTTGCAAGAGTATTATTTTACAGTTATTTTAAATCCAAAATTAAATCATAAGATGTTTGTAGTTTAATACTGCTGATGATAATGATGATCATTTGACAACAAATATTATTATTACGTACGGCATAGGATGTACCGTACCATGCCAGGCCCATTTTCACCGGCCTGTTTCCTACTGTAGACCAAGTTTGGTTGAGCAATCAGTACGGTTAAGGTTTATTTTTTACTTAATTACCTACTCGACTACAGAGTATAGTAGAGGCATAACAACTCCTTCCCTGCTCCTAGCCCTGGACAAGGTACGGTACTTTCACGACATGCATATTGCTCCAGTCAGTGGAGTTGTCGCTGGCTGAGGTACTTTTTTTAGGCCTACTGTAGGCCTAAGTCAAGAATATTATTCATGGAAAATGCTATCGTAACATGAAAAAAAACGAATCTCCCCATTCGTTGCAATGGTATTATTTTACATTGATTTTAAATCCAAAATTAAATCATAGGATGTTTGTAGCTACTGCTGATCATCATATGACATATGTGGCAAAGACAAGCCAAACCAGTCACTCGTCGCAAAAATCGATTTAGAGTTATTTATACAGTGTTAGAGAGTAAAATAATAGCTATAAAATGGTAAAAACATTAGGCGAAGGAGTCCCCGATAACATAACGAAGTTAAAACTCACAAAGTGAGGTTTTGGACGATTACCAGCACGACTGATGCATAATGTGTTTTACATGGACGGTTTCAAGGAGACTTTCCCAATTATTGAAGTTGTCACCGCCCAAACAGTGCACACTGTTCAATTAGCCAACTGGCCAATGGACACCGGGATATAACTGGAGCAGTGCCTTGTCTTCCATTTTTAGTTTGCATTACGGGTTAATTGAAGTTGCTCTGCTAACAAATAATAATTCCCTGCATTAGCTACATTTAAGTAGTTTGGTAGTTATGAATGAATTATTTAGACAACCCAAACCATTGCTTGAATGTCGTAAAAATCGTAGTAGGAATCCTAAAACAGCACTGTTACTAGTGAGTATAATTACAAATACTAGACCTACAAACCGGTCCTACACCCTACAGTAGGCTAATTAATTGGGCTAGCATGGGCCTAACCTAGACAGACGGCGCCTGATTTTCGCCGCGGCTCGCGATTGAACTTTTTGAGAGTAGGTTAATGACCGGTGTATAGGCCGCACCCCAAGTTTCGGGGGGGTGGAGGGGGGTGGGAATCGCATATAAAATTTGCGGCTTATACACCGAAATATACAAGAGTAACAGAAAGTATCCTGTCAGTTTTAAATCAAAATTGATTTTCGGCGATATTGCTGTAGTGAGTCGACAAACGGTTACATTTTACAATCCGATGACATTGGTACCATGCCTTTGGAATACTCCTCTCACATTGCCAAAACTCCGCTCAGAAGTTTTTCAGACTCCTCTTATTGGCCTTGTAGGGTTGGCATGTCTGCAGTAGTTTATGTTAAAAACTACCACAATGGTGTAAAACTTCTGTTAAATGTATTTACAATGTCGC